TTGAAATGCTTGGTCATTCGGTTGGTGTATTAACGATAACCGGTCAATACTCTCATCAACCTTATGAGAAAGCCAGTCGGGAATCTTACTTTGTTCATCAAGTTCCGTCGCTACCTTAGTCATTCTTTCAAGCTGTTTAGCCAACTCTTGTCGTTTGCAAACACGAAAAATACTGCTGTTTTGTAGTACTTGTTCCAAGGCTTCAAACTCTTTTATAATGTTTTCAACATTATTCCTCCAATCTTCAACCACTCTCTTGCGTTTTTTTCCAGAATGACATGCTGCATTTTGTAATTCATGATCAACATCATCTTTTCGACTTTTCAGTACTTTTATTTTTCTTTGAAGAGTACGTGTAATTTCCTCCAAGTCTGGGAATATCGATTTAACATATTCTAACAGCTTATCCATGTGGATTTCCTTCAACTTTGGTATTATCGGTGCAACAAATTCTAACAGCTTATCCATGTGGCTTCTTCCTGCAAATATGATGCAATATTGTTATGTACAGTCAAAATACCAATGGAGATATTACTTTGAGAAATATTAAATTCGGAATCCTTCATTTTGTACAAACTCAATCATGAAAAATTTCAAAACATTAATTTATTTCAAAATATTTGAACTTTTACAGAAACCTGAAATTAAGAGATTATTCACTATTTATATATTATTTAAATCTAAAAGCAACGAACTGGTGAAGGCAGGAGGTCGAAAAGCACTTAGAAATGCAATAATTGAACCAATGGACCAACATCAATTATTGCTCTTTTTTCTTCTTTTTTTAATTGGGCGGCCTGAAAATCCCTCATTATGTATATGTGGCGTTTAAAAGAAATTGTTCCTTTTTCAATTGACTACGCCGTAGAAATTTTCTTTCTATGCTCCTTATTGATTTTGTTAATTTTATTATTATTTTTTTTTTGGTAGACTTCTATAAAAGTTGATAAAGTAAATGACTGAAAAGTTGTGAATCGCATAAAATATATTGTTAAAATTGATTGTTGATTTTGACTTCAATTTTTATCTTCTTCTTAAGCTAAACCAAAGAGAGCTATACATTATTATTCTAAGAGCTTTGTCACATGTACACTCAGGTTTATATTTTGGGTGACATAATGTTTAAGTGACATTCTATTATTGGTTGATAAAAAAAAAAAAACAATTTATACATAAATGTCACTTATGCATTATGACACCTCAGTATACATGTAGCAAAGCTATTAGAATTAAGATTATACATAAAATAATGTCACGGCCATTAAACTAACACCTAAACAAACAAATTTATTAATTTAGTGAAAGCTAAATTACCGGCTTGTTTATCATTTTTTTTTTCTTTCTCCATCATTTATAATCTTTTCACTGGGTTAGTTTTATTGCCACTGTTTTTTTTATCCGTCACACATTTTCACAGATTTGTTACGTATACACTTACTTCAATACGATTATATTCTTCATAAATTTTATTTATTTATTTATTTACCTCTTTTTTTTGTGTAATACTACAAAGATTGAAACCACCTATGAATTCACGAAAAGAATCATCTTCAACACGAGAAGAAGAAAAGAAGATACGGGTAACCACCCGACATTTTTGACACTACTTGAGAGCTGGGATTCTCTTACACAAAAACAAGGGTCAACCAAAGATGGATAAATATAAATACATAAAAGATAAAAGAGGGAAAAAGAAAACATAATTTTTTCTTCTAAATAAACAAGGTCAGAAGTGAACATAAGAAAATTTGCGGGGTTCAAAAGTGGGAATATGAAAATAAAATAGATAAATATTTAAAAAGAAAAATGACAGACAATAGGATTGTGTAATTTGCAATACCTAAGCTTTCTACGAGCGTGAGTATTGTTACGCTTAACATTTTAGGACAAACTATTTGATAGACGTATTAAGAACACCTCGCTGCATGGAAATAGTTCCAANTAAGCTTTCTACGAGCGTGAGTATTTTTAGGCTTAACATTTTAGGACAAACTATTTGATAGACGTATTAAGAACACCTCGCTGCATGGAAATAGTTCCAATTACACAATTAATTGTCACGAATGCTCAACCAAAAAACTCGTTGGATAATCATCTACATTAGTGCTATGCAGGACGTGTGGTATTTAGCATCGATATCTGTAGCAACTACATAGATGAGTAATGTCATTTATCAATAATAATGTTATAATACTAATCTAAGTGACACTAAATGAAATGTATAATTGTATGTGTTAAGTTCAAATTACTATTGGCAATTTCGAAATTTGTAATAGGCAATTCCTTAGTTAAAATCACGTCCTAGTTAAATAGTATTAGAAATCTATCAAATTGCAATCAAAGTTAAAATATGAGTTATTGAATCATAATTATAGCAAAAGAGTTGAAATTAGTAGTATAGGTTTTGAAATAGTCCAAAATGTCCAAGAAAATCATATATGATCAAGGGAATTCAATTAGAAGTCTAAAGAGTGTCAAAGAGTTGTACAATTATAATGCTTTTTCACATAAAACATATTGGAATTTGGACAAGGTTGTTTCTAGAAGAATTGTAGTCATTTGAGTTAAATTTTCCATGCATTTTAAATCACTTTAATCGGACATCAGGAGAGAAATTTATGATAAAAATACTGACAACTGCTCAACTGACGCTCGCCTGTCGCTAGCTTGGTGCTCAAGCGACAGGTCAACGTTTCAAACACTTGGTTTTTCAATTCCTTTTCATCCCAAATATTTTTCGACATATACATAACCACATATTATTTGATCCATA